GGGCGTTCTTTGTCCCCCCGCCCGCCCGCCCCCCAATCTTCTTCCAACACATCAAGCTCATTATGCAAATCTGACCGTCATTGTGCATTTCACTCAGCCCAGACAATTGATCAAGCAATAAAACACAATTAGCTCAGCAGGGCGCCATAGAGTAGAGCGAGGGGTCTCGCGGCTGTAACTCCTCCACATGCAAGAGCTGTTGGGGGTCTGGGGTATTGTTACGTCCCTCACCAATCAGCTATGGTTCGTCTAGGAATACTGGTAGATATAACATACAAAAATTTAAGTGTGTGCATATCAAAAATGGGAAGGAGCTGCACAAAGAAGAGAACCAGCCACAAAACTAATAATTCCGCCACAATGTTTAATTCTCTTGTAAAGTGCTTGAGAGAAAGAGAGTAAAGTATTAAAGTAAATATTTACAATATGTACAATCAATGAATGACAGTCGGGAGCAGGTTGGAGGAGAGGAAGGAGCGAGAGAGATGCTTAAATCAAAAAACTAAACAAAAACAAAACTCCCAATAACTAAGGTTAACCAAACCATAACTATCTATCAACAGAAAATGTAGAAACAAACATCTTCAGCGTACAAGACGCCATTCCTAACCTTACTCTAACTAACCAAACAAAAACATACAAAATGAGCACCTCTCGCACTAACCTGATGTGTCTAATACAGTAGTGAAAACCTACATGTGAATGTATGTCGCGACATGCTTACCTTACTCACAACCTCTCCAATACAATTCGCACAACTCTCATCAGTGACTAGACAGGAGTTTCACAACCGACACCTTGATCGGATAACATCAGACAAGTGCAACACGCACACCAAAGTCATAATCAACAACAAGCAAATCACTGATACTACTGTGAGAAAAACAGAACCGTAACTCCAACAAAAACAGACTCTCAGACTGGTCTTCTCGCAAGAGAGAAAACCGTCCTCACAGAGCCGTAACATCACCCAGTCCAGCCTATTCTCCATTAACGTTAGTGAACTTTAAATAAACTGCGCGGCCGCAGACCATTGGTGGCGCAATCACAGACGTCAGCGTCCAACGTCAGCAGAGTGACAGGCAGATCCGCCAATGAACGTCGCGTCTGAAACAGACAAAGCATACATACAAACGCACCCATACAATAACATATACATAAGAAAGCTTACATAGCACAGTGTACGTACGTTACATAGCACAGTATACGTTTGATAATCATACTGAAAATTATCCACATGTAGCTTTTGATAAAAAGGTGATTTTCTCACCTTTTTGCTCAAAATTATGATTTTTTTATGAAACCTACCTATATTCAATTGTTGATAAAAAAAATAATGCTTTAAGCTAGAATAAAACTGACTTTTATTTTGTTTAAAAGTTGAGGCTCTGATCTTTATTTTGGTGTATTGCATATTCAAATATTCATACAGCAAAAAATAATGGAGGCCATCAAATTTTAGTGAAAATCATCAAAATCGCTGGCGGTGGCTGCAACTTTTTTTAAAAATGCTGGCGGGGAAAGAATTAAAAGCGCTATATAAATAAAGGTGGCTTGACATTCCACAAACTGTCGTTTTGCCAGACTGCCCTCAATATAAGCTGTTTTTAGCAGCTTACTAATTTACTAATGAGACGATTTTGAGCTCTGAAACGTACAGGATGTTTTGACACACAGCAGTGAGTAGTGAACAAACACACACACAAACACACACACACACACACACACACACACACACACACAGAGCAGTGGGCAGCCATTTGTTTGCTGCGGCTCCCGGGGAGCAGTTGAGTGTTCGGTTCTTGCTCAAGGAAGAACCTCAATACCACAATCTCTGTCGTGGTATTGAGGATGGAAGAGAGCGCTGGTCATTCACTCCTCTACCTACAATCCCTGCTGGTACCAAGCTTTGAACCCGTAACTCTCTGCTAGGGATGGGCGTATATCGATACTGACACAAGTATTGAAAGTATCGATACTCAAACAAAAATATCGATACTAAGGTGTGTTTTATTTACCAGTGATTTTGTTTATTTAACAAAAAATTTATGCGTACAATATGCATTGACTTGGATGAATAACCCATGTTAGCGAATAATTGTGTAGGATAGGACTATTTTCCTGCTCATCTGAACACATGCAGATGTTGCAAGACAAAATCAATCAAATCACGGAGAGCGTTTACTCACTTCTGACAGTGTATTCAAACAGGGCTCCGTTTCCAAAAAAAAATCATAAGAAAGCATTGATGCTTTTGGGAACGGCAGCCCAGAACAATGCTTATCAGGGGACAGGAAGAAAAACATATATGTTTGAGTTATTTCACAATAAACAAATTTAAATTGTAGCCTACATAATTTGTTCAATTACATTTATTTAAATTGAATGTTGAAAGATAATATTGATCATCTTCTATTCTGTAATGTTAATATAAATCATACACTGTCAAAATAAAAAGGTTGCATTTTATGCATGCAACAGCCTGTCACTGGCAGTCCCTTGTGAAAATGAACCATGGTTTTACTAAAGTGACCGTAGTTCAACTATAGTATTTGTAGATTTCCATTGTTACCACTACAGTAAACATGTTTTAACCATGTGTAAACAAACATATAACCTAATGCATTACAATTAAGGCATATTGAATGTTAAAATGTGTTTCAAATATAAAGTTATCATTACCCATTTTACTCTTAGTAATTTAATAATTTAATAAATTTAATAATTTAAAAATTCAGTTTAGAAGTATCGAATTGGTATCGATATCGACGATACTGGCCTTGAAAAGTATCGGTATCGTATCGAAAACAAAATAAGTGGTATCCCCCATCCCTACTCTCTGCCTGCCATAAAAGCGCTTGAATATTACATTCTTTAATATATTATATTTGTTTCTTTGTTCTGACGTTTACTTCTCTTAAAGGGGTCATATGATGCTGCTAAAAAGAACAGTATTTGGTGTAATGAAATGTGTTTATGCGGTTTAAGGTTAAAAAAACACATTATTTTCCACATACTGTACATTATTGTTTCTCCTCTAAGCCCCGCCTTTCTGAAACGCGTCGATTTTTACAAAGCTCATTGGTCTGAAAAAGCGAGGTGTGCTGTGATTGGCCAGCTATCCAGTGCGTTGTGATTGGCCGAATACCTCAAGCGTGTGACGGAAATGTTACGCCCCTCACCATACTGTGATGATGCCCTGTCAGGCCGGAGCGATAAAGTAGTTTTGCTTTCACAACGAAACAGCGTCACACACCGCGGCCTACAGTGAGCAGAGGCCGGAGGCTAGCGTGAGGAATGGCAGGAGGGTTAGAGTGAGCAGAGGCCGGGGGCTAGCGTGAGGAACGGCGGGAGGGGTAGAGTGAGGAATCAGCTCCAGGCATGACGAAGCAGATATCGTCCTCTTTTGGAAGACCAAACAAAGTAGTTTCGCTTTAACAACAAAGCACACAGCATCTTTACGACATGGCGGCGGAAACAACAAAACTACAGCGAAAATAAAAGTTACGCCTTCTTTCTTTGCGTGAACATTTGGGCGGCGTTATGCAAATCTTCCCACATAGTGACCTAGATATGTGGGGGCATGTTAGAACGAGCCGTTTTAGGTAGGTGTGGCTGACTCTTAACTTTTATAAAGAATATCTCTTTGGATTTGAGACTTTAGTCTTTGCAACTTTACAGATCTTCTTTATGCACCAAGAGCTTGTAACACTCCAAAGAGAAAGGAAAAATTTAAATCAAATCATATGACCCCTTTAATAAGCTTGGGAACGATTTACTTATATTGCTTGTAGGGCCTACTCGTCTGTAACTAGCAAAATAGTCTTAAAAACCAGCATGGATTCATATTTTGGACTGATCCTTTCTGAAAAACCTTAATGTGATATATTTGCCATATCGCCCAACCCTATACAATGGATTAACAATCCCAGTTTATTTACAGGCATGTGGACTCTGTGGTGTTTTGGTTGCAGGAAAGCTCCATGGCAAACCTGCGCTGAGAACACAGACCCTTCCTGGTCCTGGTCCACTTCTGACACCACTTGTGACGAGGCGTGATGGAAAACTGGTCACAAGAAATGATGGCAGGGCCACAATAGCACTTCCGTGCAAATGTGGTTTTATTGACAGTGTCCGTACTGATTCACAGTCTATTTACAGTCCACCAAAGTGCACAAAATATGTATAAGTGATATCCGTAAAAACAGACAAAAATAGGGAAAAATGGAGGAAATATTTTACAAATATATTTACAACACAGCGCTGTGCTGTTAAAACCTTCTACAAAAAGGTAGTACACACAAGACACTTGCAATGTTTGCCTCTAACTACAACACCACACTGAACAGATATACCGGTTTGGCTTTTAAATCAAATGCCTCACCCCAGATGGACTCTACGATATATTTCCAAGGGTGAGTATTAACACGATGCACTTAGATAAATAACAATAAACACAAGACTCATATAATCTTCAGTATCATAACAGATATACATAACCATAAATATTCATCATATTATACAATATGTGTTTTATTCATTATCATTCCTGTTAACTTCGGTTCTTGTATTCCAACCCACCCCCAAAACAAGCAACATTTAAGACGGTCCAGTTAACGGAGCGATCGCGCAGGCACAACGTGGGAATTCAGTGACTTCTGGCTTTCTAGCCCATTACCGGAGTTTGCCTTTGCTTCCGGTAACCTGGACTGCGACACCACACAAACAGACAACGAACAACGATACGTAATATGTGCAGATAAGTTCAATAAACTCTTACATGTAACCTTATCTGATGTCTGCGTGTGTTTATTGTGGGATATTAAAGTAGGATGCGGTAATCGGGTGGATATGTGTGTGTTGTGTATGCAACTGTAACATTAACCTAGCCCTCGTGTGCACCCAAGGGTAGGAAACAGCAGAAAATTGGGGATAATGGATCGTGTGTGGGTAAAATGTAGTGCTGTTGTGATCGTGACAGAGCCCTCTGTCACAGACTGGAGATTAGTAAGACCAAAGAATTGGGGCCATCCTTCACATCCCTGGGCAATGGGACTGACCACCGCCTGTCCTTGACACAACATGCCAATGAGGTCTATAAAAAGTCCAAATTCTCATTAGTCTAGTCTAGTGTAACCAAGTTCTTACAATCAATAGAGTCAAGAGACCAAATTTAACCTTAAAGCTTCAGTGTGTAACTAGCAGCAAATTAAATCTGACTATGATGTTCATGAACATTTTCCTTTTATGCAGGACTTCACTCACATCCAAATCTGATAAACCTAAAACAAACTAAAGATGACCAACAACAAGAATCTCAGTCACGACACATTTTGCTTTACAAATGAGTGCCTTTTGCATCTGAAATGGCCTCATAGACTAATGCTCATCCATGTTTGCATAGACGTCCTTTACGATGAGACTTTTTGCCATGGACAATTTCACTTGAGCTCATCAAGAGGGCTGACAAAAACGATGACAGATTCAAGAGGGTGGAGTTAAGGGATGGAAAGAGAAAAATACAGACAGGTAGAGAAAGCAGATGAGAGATGAGGTAAAGAAAAACATCTCATGAAACCAATTAAGCCAACAAAATAAGAAAGAGAAAGCAAAGGTAGCTTGTGTCCTTGTTTGGTCATTGCAGGGCGGAATTAAAGACAGATAATCATCTTCCTTCTTATTTTAAGTGATCTTCGATCTGGTTATAGTCATGCTTAAAAGTAAGATGCTGATGCTTGGATACCTGTTTTCACTTCTTGGTGAGTATCTCTTTTACTAATAAAAGACAATGTTTTCTATGAAAAAGAAGTCTTCTCTTAGATGGACAACTAAAAGGTTTGGTCTCAAATGCTACAATGGTTAAAGTAACCATTAAAAAAATCTTATGCTGTTACGCTCAGTAATTAAACGTTTTTAGATCACTATGACAGCTCAGTCCATATAGTACGGTCTAACAACAGATCTTCTATTTTCTAAAAAAAACAGTGCATCCTTTCCTTGTGCCACTTTTGTTTGTTGTTCTTGATCATCCCTTTTTCAAACAATGTTTTAAGCAAATTAATCCTTTGCATGAGTTAATGGTTAAACTCCAGCATAGGTTTGGTTTTGATATTAATATTGGGCCAAATTCAAATTAATCTGTACAGATGCACTATAAGCTGATTATTTATTTTTGTTTAGAGTATTTTTTTTTTAAGTATGTATTGGTGTACTAATATTTGAACACTGATTTGTAAATGATAATATACAGTTGGTTGGTCATTATAAAAAATTTTAAAAAACAATAATAATGTCTCAGGTTACTTATGTAACCATGGTTCCCTGAGTAGGGAACGAGACACTGCGTCCTCTAGGGGTCGCTATGGGGAATGCCTCGTCGTGACCCGTGTCTGAAGCATACATTGAAAAAACACCAACTCGTTGGCCGGCGACAGCCATGACGTCACTACTGGTGCGACTATAGTATAAATAGGCGCCGGGAGCACACATCATTCACTTCTTCATCTGAAGCTTGCGTCCGCAGCATGGCAAGAAAGCTAGAGGACGCAGTGTCTTGTTCCCTACTCAGGGAACCATGGTTACATAAGTAACCTGAGACGTTCCCTTTCATGGGAACTTCGAACTGCGTCCTCTAGGGGTCGCTATGGGGAACGGTATACCCACGCCACCATGCTGAGGGGAATGCATGCCAGAACCATGGTGAGCACTAAGTACCAACTCTACCATATTGCTATGGGAGTTGCCCCTGGGATGTTAGATGGCTGCCAGTGACGTTATTCCCTACGGCCAAAGGCCTAGGCTACATACCCCAAAAACTTTCCTGTTAGGGCCAGACTCCTGGGCCCGGGGTAGAGCTCAAGGCTTGGAATCAGGAATAGATTCCTTTAAGGGAATACGACCAAGAGCCTAGAATCA